CATGGCATCTTCTAGCATGTACAGGATCACGCATATAAAGATCAGCTGCATTCCTATGTTATGGTCCATACAAAAAACTACTCCCTCCGTCCCATAATATAAGAACGTTTTTGACACTACACTAGTGTCAAAAACATTCTTATATTATGGGACGGAGGGAGTAAGTATTACCATAGCCCAACCCTACCATCGTAGGTACCAACTAGGCCGAGAGGTGGTTCTTGATGTACCTATTAACCCAGATCGTTTTGTGAGGCACGCTAAGCTTGTCAAATGCCCTGGCAACGTGAGCATTCTCGCACAAATAAGCATAGTAGTGGGCAAGATGCTCCTGTTCAAACCCTGGGAGGCTCTTCATGTTCGCCCAAAGGTCGTCGGGGACATCAGTGTCTCTCCTACTGCATTTCTCTATGGCTTCTGCTAGGCGATCGAGAACACGGGTCATGGTACATAGCAGCCTGTCATCGTTTTTTACCTTGGCTTTCTTTGGTGGGGGTGGGGGAGGTAAGCTGTCAGACGAATCACCACTGTTCCCTTCATCGGTGCTGGTAAAAGACATTGCGGCCTCTTCAACACCTTTAGGAATATTCACCCAATTCACGTTTTCATTTTCGATTCCATTCTCAGGCGCGCCCCTAGCAAGAGACTCGTTGCTACTCCTAGCTGGCCTGGATGAAGCCATGCCTTTGACAAAGATTGTCGCCATCTCACGATAGTTCTTAATTGGAGTGTTCAAGAAATCAGCATCATGATGGTGGTCCTGGCAAGTAATACACGGGAAATTGTTTAAAAAGTATATGCAGCAATGTCGTCACAGCCAGTAAAGAACATAAACTTCAATCTTACCTTAACGTGAGCTGTGTAATGCTCATGATTAAGCACAATGGTGCAAGTATTCGCATCCCAAAGAGCGCCACTTAAACTCTTGAGTATGTTAACCTTTTTCCATATTTTCTTCCATTTCCTAAGATGGTTAGAAATCTGTGCAGCATTCACTTGAACCCTGAAGTGCTCACACAAAGCCTGAGCACAACTTTTAAGATGAACTTGCTTGAAAACATGAGAGGGTCTAGTTCCACTGGCCACTAGGTTAGTCAAGAACTGAAGCACAAAGGATGACATGGCATTTGTCCAAACAAGTTGCCCACCACCACCATTAGTACCCGCAATGTTATCCGCATGCTGTTCCAAGTTCATTCCCTACGAATTAACAACACGGTCTGATTAAGAAAACAAGAATCTGGTAATAAACAATAATTTGCCAACCATATCATATAAATTATAAAAAAAGCAAAATTATACTATATGATAACAACAACATTTTACATATAGGCATTACAAACTAATGGTCATAGTGGTTTTGAGAACCGATATTTTGGCAAGGGATTGTTGAAATTTGAGCATGTGTCTATGATCATGTACTTCCTCCCTAATCCCTATGCAACCTACAGGAAAAATTTCTGGTAGAAAAGGAAACAGTATGTTGGGGAGGTGATGTTCTACAAACATGTAAAATTTCAAGTCAAATTCATTTGAGAGGTATGAGCAAATTCAGCAATGAATGGTGGCAAACTGTAAACATCACTATTCATGCTGAATCTGTTTTACATGCCTCCCAAATGATTATGAGTTCAAACTTGACATTTTACATGTGTAGAACATCATGCTCCCAACATTTTACATGTGTATAGAACTATTATATATACATGGTTTCTATGGAGTTTTCATTATGACTTGGTTTCCACTGGATATTTTCCCACTACCTAGACATGTGAGGTGCCCAGGTACTTCCCAGTAGAATAAAACAGTGGCTCTTTCCTTACTTTGTGAAAGAACACAATTGTGATGCAACTATGGCATTATCCACTTGAGTAGTGAAGGGGAAGAATGGGATTGCATCATCAAGAATTCAAATTGACACTCAACATTTCAAATCGGCGGCTATAGGAGGTTGATATCCTTTTTACAAAGCTACCCCAGACAGTCAATGTCAAGGACCTCTGGCTTTAGCTAGGTAAGTGGTGTCCCTTATAAGGGATCTAACAAATAAAAATGAGAAGCCGACTGAAGCAATTGCTGGCATGCATTCTATTTATTTTGTTGCGACAGTGGGCCGCAAGTCCTTGTGTGGTGAAAGCACTTTGAAGAAAACTTACATGTGATATACCCACGTCTGGCTGCATAGCTGGAGCATCGCGTTGTTGTGATAAATCCAAGTGAGACATCTGGGATAAATAAGGAGATTTATTTTGTTGAGAAAGTATAATCATAATACAGGTTTAATTTAGTAGCAAACTGCAGCATTCAAATTTCACATAGAAAAATCAATACATCAAGGCAGGCATTATCTTCAGAGAATGAAGTAGGTCTATGCTGTATGTATAATGATGAAGTAAGAATGACAAAGAACTCTTGTCACTGTCCATCAGGTGATCAAGTTGAATATTTGCAATTGCAAGTTCCCCAATCATCAACATTTTTTCACATCATCTGTGTTTTTTGTATTTCTCTAAATGATTGACTTATACATATAATTTGGAGATAAATTGGTGATCAGGGTCCAGATGCTAACTGCGAGACCATAGGTATCCAGCTGTAACAATTGATACTAGCTGTGAAAGTTTGTAACTACCACATTTCAGTTAGAACTACTCCATTTGTTGAATAACCTTTTAGAATTTAACCAGATATAAAAAAGGGCAGCCCGGTGCATGTAGCTCCCGCTTGCGCAGGGTCGGGGAAGGGTCCGACCACTTTGGGTCTATAGTACGCAGCCTTTCCCTACATTTCTGTAAGAGGCTGTTTCCAGGACTTGAACCCGTGACCTCATGGTCACAAGGCAGCAGCTTTACCACTGCGCCAAGGCTCCCCTTCTTTATAGCTGAAACTATACAAGTACAATCAATATTATTTGGGCATGTCAACATGGTTTACCTTGGCCTTCTTTGGTGGTGGTAAACTGCTAGAGGGATCACCAAAGTTTCCTCCATCAGTGTTAGTAAAAGATTGTGTGGCCTCTTCACAGGTTTTGCCATTCTCGATCACAACGATAGCAAGAGGGTCACTCGCTTCATTAGTTTTTCTGTTTTCCATTTCATTCTCAGTCACATTTGTAGCAATAGGGTCACTCTCCCCATTGGTATCTTCATTTTCAAATTCATCATCAGCCACGTCTGTGGAAAGAAGCTCATTGCTACTCCTGCTAGCATATACACCTGAAACCATGCCGTTGCCACAGATTGTAGCCATCTCATGATAGTGCTCGATCGGAGTGTTCAACAAGTCGGCATCACTATGGTGGTCCTGCCAAGTAATACACAAAATATTAGACAAAACAGAAGCAACAATGACACCACCATGTGGAAACAAACATACGGTGCAATCCTACCTTAACGTGACTGGCATAATGCTCCTGATCAAGCACAATGGTGCATGTATGCTCATCCCAAAGAGCACCACTTAAGCTCTTGAGCTTGTTAACCCTTCCCCATATTCTTTTCCACTTCCGAAGGTGGTTAGAAATCTGAGCGGCAGTTACTTGAAGCTTGAAGCGCTCGTTCAAAGCCTTTGCACAGCTTTTATGATGAACTTGCCTGAAACTGTTGGAGGCTCTAGTTCCACTGGTCACCAGGTTAGCCATGAACTTAAGCACAAAGGACGACATGGCAGTTGTCCAAACAGCCTGCTTGCCACTAACGTTGTTAACCGGCATGTTATCGGCATGTTGTCCCAAGTTCATTCCCTGGCATAACAATTACAGACCCGATTAATAAAGCAAGAATCTGGCAACAAAGTAAATCCATGCATAGTGCGAATGTGAGAAATGTACAGCAAAAGCCGAGACATGCAATAAATCAAGCACTTGAAATTCCTAGCTGCAAAACTGCAATTTCCATCGATGAGATCTTGCACAAATTGTTCATATAAGACTACCATTGCAGCAATTTCTAAATGACATAAAAAAAGACTGCAAGACTAACTGCACATTCACTGAATAAGTGAATAATGAAACTAAGGAATAGCAATTTCCAAAATTATGCAGGAAAAATCAGTAAATAATGGTTTTGGTTGTTCAAGCGTCAGGAACATCATGGCAAAATCGATTCGATTGCAATCGGATCGAATCCAATCCAATCCTAGTACTCACTAAGCACAAACCCTAAACTACATCTACCAGCAAAGGGGAAACAATGAAACATACCGGAGCAGTGTCTGTTGGAGCGTAGGCCGGCTGAAGAGCAAACCCTGGCGGGAATGCGGGGCCGCCCGAAGAGGATGACCCGGCTACCACCAGGGGCATCGCCGATGCGCCGGTGCTCCTACTGGAAAGGGCACCATCGTTCATATAAGACTACCATTGGAGCAATTTCTAAATGACTTTAAAAAAAGGGACTGCAAGACTAACTGCGCATTCACCGAATAATGAAACTTCAGAATAGCAGAAAAAAAATCAGTAAACGATGGTTTTGATTGTTCAAGCGTCAGGAACGTCACGGCAAAATTAACTGTCTGCACTTGTTGCAGCAACATGTCTAAACCGCCTGCATACACAACGCAGTATTCGTCTTTTCCCGTATTTGGGAGCGAAGGAAAATGAAAAAGATTGACTAGGGCTGCCGGAACATGAATCAACTGAGATACAATCATGTGATTTGGTGTCCCATACCTAGGGCTGCCGGAACCCGGTCGCCGCCGGGCACCTCGCCGCGCTGGTAAGGGGAGACGGGCCGGGAAGCTGAGAGGGGGGCAGGCAGCTCCGGGGCGCGTCGCCTACCGGCCGGCGGAGGGAGGTGGGTGGTGAGGTGGGGGAACGACTGGCCGCTCGGCGGCAAGGGACGGGACGGGATGGGTCGCGCTCGATCCAATCCCGTATCGTTTGGTTCATCTCTCTCCAGCCGTATGCATCGCTCGGTCCAGCCAGCATCAGCATATTCCTCCGACGGATAGGACCCTGGGCCGCTGGCTGATCTTCGCCGTCGGTTTTGTTGTGGACGGTCACGATGCGTCTTCTCCGATGCTTCCGCTCCCTACAGGGCCGGCCCAGGCCCAGGCCCAGTGCAAGTGACTGCGCCATTTGCTGCTTCCTCCGTCTTCTCCGTCCCCCTCCCCTACCTCCTTCATCCCTAACGCTCAAAAAAAAAAAAAAAAACTCCATCCCTGAGCACTCCCAGTCCCAGGCCATTAGCCTAGCTAGCTACCCCCTCCATGCGAGGGCAGAAATGGCGCCCGCCTCCGCCTCCTTCGCCGTCTCCCTCTCCGCCCCCATCCGCTTAATCCCGCCCAGATGCTTCCGCGGGAGGCCTAGGCGGTCCCGCCCAATTAGGGCTTCGAGCGACACGAATGGCGCCCCGGACGGGGAGCGGAGGATCGGGGTTCTGGAGAGGAGGGTGGGGGATTTGAGGGCGCTTGTCGCCTCGCTGCCTCCTGCTGTCGTCTCGGTAACGCGGCCCGTTTCTCTTGCTTGTTATTTCTGCACATTTTGGACTGTGAGGGTTGGCCACTGTCAGGTCTGATCTGTGGTTGCTTGTTAGGTTTAGCTCTTGTTGTGCATGAAATGTAGTTAGCCTGGTGAGCAAAATGTGGCAGATGTAAAGAAGATAGGTTTGCGTATACATACAGTATATATTCTTGCCTTGATATTATGTATGAAAATACTCAAATTGTAGACCGGAATTAGCTTGAAACGACACCTTATCAAAATTGATCTGTTTAGTGCCTTGTCGAAATGCTAAGTGGGAAATATGGCCTTGGTACTTGGAGTGAAATGCCCACCCACCCACTGTTTTTTTCTTCCTTTGGTGATTCTTAGTTCACTGCTCATAAACAATCTCCAATGCATCAGGGATTCAAGGAACTGGTTAAATTTTAACCCCCAGCAGTCACATGGATTTTTACATTTTAGGCATTTTGGGCAGCTTGAGAAATTCTATGTGGCCTTTTTATTTTATTTACAGCACGAGGCCTAAACTATCTCTTTGCCAGTACCCGATACATTACCATCTTATAGTCATGTGATCATATCGTATGTAGTTCCATCTTTGCATAACAAATACTCTCTTATTTATGTTTTCATGCAGATCAGGAAAAACATTGGACTAAATTCCATTGCAGGCTTCAGTTTCGGCATTGCATTTTTGGCTGCTCTCGCAAGACAGGTCATCATAAGAACTCAACAGCAAGATAGTAGTGGTTCTGTTTCTGATCTAGTAAGGCGCGGGCATCTAAAGTCTGGGCAACGTGGGATGTATGTCTTGCTATCTTGTCAAACTTCAGTTTTGATTCTCTTCTGCACTATCCACCATAGTTTTCCATATGACGATTTGGGCTTAGAGGTTTACTCATATGTGTATTTAAGAAGACAGTACAGAAACCTACTTTTCTTGGAATATGTGGTTTGACCACATTTTTTGTTGGTCTAAATTAGAATTGAATTCATACTCAAATCCACTTTTGGTGTTATGCTTTAGAATTGGTTGTTTTTCTAACAACATTTTATTGTATATTCTGAATCATGTTTACAAAACATTCAGAACTAATATAACTTTTTCATGTGACCCACCACCATTAGACCATTGATGCCTCATGTCATGATATCACTTTATATGATTTGGTTGCCCTTCTAAGTTCTAATGGTCTAACTATAGGGGTGAATTCTTCTCTGAGGGAAGAATTGTCATCTTCTCCATTTGTCTAGCAACTAGCTTTATAACATTGTAAATCCACGCCTCACTCTTGTTGACTGCTATGGCAATTGTAATATTACTTTAAGTGACTAGTGATAGTGATCAAGGTCAATAAAACCTTAGGGATAAACAAAAAATGTTATGCTGGTTTCCAAGCCTACTTTTAACCTTTTTTTAAACCCTTCTACTGCAATTGTCTAATATTCTCTTTAAATCGTGCAATAATTTTGACCAAGGCAACTCCTGCAGTGCAAAACCACGTGTGTACAGTGATCCTTTCAATAATTCGTTAGTCAAGATCGATGAAGGTACTTCTACTGCTCAGATGTTTGGCAAGGAGTACCGCATGGCTCCTGTCCGGCTTACAAATGAACAACAGGTCATGCATCAGAAAAGGAGATCACATGCATATCAGTGGAAAAGGCCCACTGTGTTTCTTAAAGAAGGTGATCCCCTGCCACCAGATGTCGATCCAGGGACAGTTAGATGGATTCCAGTAAACCACCCATTTGCTGCTGGTTCGGTTGAAGTAGATGAGGAGACTGCCAAAAGGAATGTTTATCAAAAGGATGGTGTCCCGTCCCGTGTTAAAGCCGAACATGAAGCTTTGAGGGCAAGGCTAGAGGCTTCAAATGATGTGAGTGCTTGCAATTAACATGATATTCTTTAACTTGCCCCGATGCCACAATCCAGAAAAAAGTATGCTACTATTTCAAATTAGTATATTGTTTGCAGATCTCTTTGCAGGCAGGATAAATGAGTTGTTTTAAAAGTTTCAAGCTCAATCTGATAACTGAACTAACAATAGTCTGATTTGTTTTACCACTGTCTGGAATAACTCTCCATGATCTCTACCATGTTTCGCAGGTAACACCATTCTCTTCCGGTCCAAGGGGTATGCAACATAGTGCAAGATCATCGAAGTTATCAGACGAGCCATCTGGGAATCTGCAACAGTCTAAACCTGACATGGTGAATGACCAAAATGGCCAACCAATGTTAGAGCCTGAGCCTGAGAGCTCTGACAACGGTTCACTATCAAAAAGCTTGGAAGGACAATAACTGTGTGAATTGTATAAACCCCTTGGCATTTCGTTTTGTTATGTAGTGTTGTCAGGTTTTAGCTGTAGATAGAGGAGTTTTTGGAACAATAGACTTTACGTACTGAACACATGATATGGAGCACTGTTACTGTTATGTGCTGTTGTATATCTGATATTTTCTTTGCCTGAAGATCTCCAGATGCACCATCTCATTTTCAGCCTCTTAGAACCATACGATAATTTGGTAGGATGCTCTCATTTATCACTCATGTTTTGCGTAATTCAACAGTAACATAATATTTGATAAGCTACATATACAATAGCTAGTTGATTCAAGAATCAAGAGAGATTAAATTCTTAATGATACAGCACAAACCCTATAACAATAGAAAGTATGAATAACTCTACAGAAGGTAAAATGACTAAATATCTGGAAGGACTATTGAGGTACAAAATTTGTGTTGGTGGGAAATGGCATCAGGATTTTATAAAAAATGCCTAGGTGGCATGATGCCGATCTCCCTATACAAATAGGCTTGCCATAACCTGTAATCCTGTGTGAAGATAAGCAATTTGGCTTAGACAGCATGGAAGCCCTCATCGTCACTATCACCAAACATGGTTGCCATTTTCATGGCTATCTTGGCAGCCATCTCCCTCCTTTGGAAGTCAGGAACGAGCCTTAGGTTGGAGCGCATGTTGCCAATCTCTGACATTAGTCGCTCCAGATCATCTACGCCATAGTGATCATCCTCAAACAGTGTATCAACCTCTGGGGTGTCAGTTCGCTGGTCCTCCTCAGAAGTATCTGCTTCAGTGTTATCCACATGATTATTACTATCTTCAGTTGTGTGACTCTGAGTTACAGGATTTTCTTTGGCAGGTTCTGTAGATCTGTCATGTGGAAGAGGGTTGGGCGCCAAAGAACTAGCATTGCCGTTCACAACTTGCTGTGTGTTGTCCTGCATAGATTTAGCTTCATCCAATCCTTCCAAGCTTCTTGATGTACTCGATTCACCGACGAATTCCCATTGCTCATCAGATGCATGGGATAGGACCTCGTAGTCAAATTCATAAGTCAATTCATCATCTGTAGATTCTATCAGAAGAAAACAGAACAATTAAGGCCAAATACAGGGTTCTAAATTCAATAATGGAACCATAATGGAGGGCAAGATATTCTAATTATCAAAATCGCTCCAGCTTTGCACATCATATGGTTGTTTGTTAGAGCAAGCATGACTCATCACAAAACCATGGCGCTAATTTAATAATTTATGGTTAAACACGTAATTATATTGTTTTCTTATTTAACTCACCATCTTTTTCGACCAAGGATGGAGTGGTAATTTTGTTTCCAGATTTCAGAATCATTCCAGGCCACATGTGTGCAGAAAGGGCTCCAAAGAGTCGCTCTAGGCCTTGGCTATCACCATCCACTGATAGGCCTGTTGGTAATTATAAACAGACGACAGTTCAGAATTGAAAGAGCATCCAAAAGATCTATTTAAATACACGCAATATTCAACTTTGGATAGAAAATAGGTCCCTTTTATTAGACTCCGTCAAACAATTATAATAAAATTTCATAATTCACACAATAAAAACAGCCACCGATGCCATGCATGTGGATCAACCATTTAACTTGTTAGCCTTTTGGTGTATGGCATTTAATACTAAGCGGTAATACGGTATAAAACAATATGGACTTGAATTGCCTTTTCAATTTTGCAGGTTCAGACATAAATTACCATATAAAATACTAAATGCAATTTGATCAACAGACCAATACCAACAAAAAATGTGACTTTTAATTAATTGGGTGCTACTGATCTCCAAGATACTACAGCGCTGAAAAATAAATGGGAATCTACATAGGCCAAATTTGGTCTGGCTTGAGTTTAAGCTTACAAAGGTTTAAATCTTCCTGAACACGGTTCCGATACATGCATTTTTCAGAGAAGTTTGAGCTTCATGACCTTTTCTACTAAGAAGCTCCATGTCCAGAGCTTCACTAAGAAGGCAAGCTTACGATGCCACTAACAAAACTTAGGCCCTCCAAGAAGGATCATAATCACCACAGAAAATTGTCAAAAAGAAGCACAGTGCTAAGTGAATCATACACAACAGAGATGGTAAATAAATGTATGATGGTGAAAAGCAGGTTGATGGCACCCCAAAGTGTGATCCAAAATAGTATGCAGAAGTATGTTAAGTATCAGAAAAAACACACATAAGTAAGAAGTCATAAGAGAGCCAATTGACGTGAAGATGAGCATTATCATTATATACTAAGTGTACACCTAATTAGATGATCTTCAGTTTAAAACACATGGTACGGTGAGATGATGGTAAAAGGTAAAAATAATGTGGTTTTGTCGAACAATTGCAGCCCACAGGACAACTTAGTTACTTACATTTGTCAAAGTCAGCATTGGAAGCGCAAGCTTCAATATACTCAATATTATGCTCAATGCACCACTTCAAAGTGGAGTCTCTGATCTCTATTTGTGGTTCTTCCTCTGATAACAAACCACAACCTTCATTTTCATTTATCCCAAAATCCAAATATTCAGGATGTGGATCACTACTTGACTCGCCAATCCTTTGCATGCGCCTCCTGTATTCCACATGCGCACCATGGCCAGGCACAAGATCTGCTTTATTTCCGATGCACAGCAGAACTTCAAACCTCTGAACATCAATATTACCAACCCAGTTTCGGAGCGTAAGTAAGGACGGTTCCTGCATAATTGCTGAGATGATTAGCCTACTGCAGAATTGAGGATCAAACAATTGAACACCAGTAGTTACAAGGTTCAAAAGAGTTAAAGAAAAGATTATAGATTGAAAATGGAACTAGAAATAACAGTTAGAATCAAAGAATGTGTGACGGGTTCACTGTTCTGACATCATTCATATCGAAGACCATAATGAGAGCAGCCAACTGGTCCAGATGAGGGAGCGAGCCGAGAGAAAACCCTTCCTCAAGATGTGTTGTCCAAATGGAAATATCAGCAGAGTAGTACTTGGTGTCAATTTTCCACCTGGATACCAATCAATAGCAACAGAGGTTCTGTCAGATATCCTTAAATGAAAACTAGGTCCAATAATTCTGCAAGCACACCACCACTCATACACAACACGGTGATTCGCCGTGTAGGCGTTCAAGCACATACCCCTGACAGAGCACACCTGAGGACAAGTCGGATGTGTCCGGTAATTCCGTCCCAATCAACCCTGCAGTTCATGATGATATGGAAATGATAAGAACATAAGAGGTGCCCAGCCGATCACAGAAGAAATATACAGGATGTGCCAAAGCATATATATATATAAACCTAAATCTCCACAAAGGAATTTTGTCAAGCCAGTGATGAAACTGAAAATGGAACTAAATTATCAGCTAGAACACACTTGATTCTCGGATCCTCCCCTTCCCCGTCAACTCCATACTAACTATTTCTCCCACTGAAATCAGTAATCACTAAAACAGACCACGAAATATTCTCACTAGCAGCACGACGTAATCGGGAAACGGCGGATTCGAACCCTAAGCACGTATCCCAATTAGGACATGTACAGATGTAAGAGGGAGGAGTGCGAGAGGGGGCGGGATCTCACGGGAGAGGATGGTTCGCTTGCCCACGCCGGGGGCGCCGACGAGCAGGACGCCGGGCCGGGCCTCCAGGGATGCGTCTCCCCCCTCCTCCATGGCCTCGCCCCCAAACCCTGTACCCTAGCGCTCCTCTTCCTCGCCGCGCGTGGGATCGAGCTGGGGCGCGCCTCGTGAGCAAGGACAGAGTCAGAGAGACGCAGACGACGGAGCAGAGCTACAGAAGGCGGTGAGCAGGCAAGGCGAGGAACAATTTACGCTTTCACATTCGGAAAACGGTATCTGCTCCAGCACCTTTTGGTCCACACCCAGGCAAAGGTCACACAGCTCGGTCCCACTTGCCATACTCCGCTTCACGTCCACCTCGCCTCCGCTGCGGCCTGTGTTTGAATGGTGGCGACGCCATGGGCGCCACCGCCGTCTCCTCCCCCTCATCTCCCCGCTCCCGCCGCCGCCTCCCACATGGCCGTCACGCAGGCTCTCGCGGATGCGCTGCGCTCGTGCGGGGCCCGCGGCGCGCTCTCCGGCGCGCGCGCGCTGCACGGCCGCCTCGTCAGCGTGGGCCTCGCGTCCGCCGTCTTCCTCCAGAACACGCTCCTCCACGCCTACCTCTCCTGCGGAGCCCTCCCGGACGCCCGAAGCCTGCTGCGCGGCGAGATCACGGAGCCCAACGTCATCACCCACAACATAATGATGAATGGGTACGCTAAGCTGGGCAGCCTGAGCGATGCCGAGGAGCTATTCGGTAGAATGCCTAGGAGGGATGTCACCTCCTGGAACACTCTCATGTCCGGCTACTTCCAGAGCGGCCAGTTCACGGATGCTCTGGAGACCTTCATGTCCATGCGCCGAACCGGGGACTCCTTGCCGAACGCCTTCACTTTCGGCTGCACCATGAAGTCCTGCGGCGCTCTCGGGTGGCATGAAGTGGCACCGCAGCTGCTTGGGTTGTTAACCAAGTTTGGTTTCGAGGACGACCCTGACGTTGCGACTGGCATTGTTGACATGTTCGTGAGATGTGGGGCTGTGGATTTTGCTTCGAAGCAGTTCAGCCAGATTAAAAGGCCAACTGTTTTTTGCCGGAACAGCATGCTAGCGGGCTATGCCAAGTCATACGGTGTTGATCATGCTCTTGAGATTTTCGAGGGCATGCCTGAACGAGATGTTGTTTCATGGAACATGATGGTGTCCGCATTGTCTCAGAGTGGGCGAGCCAGAGAAGCCCTCTGTATGGCTGTAGACATGCACAATAGAGGTGTGCGTCTTGACTCAACAACATACACTAGTTCTCTGACTGCATGTGCTAAATTGTCTTCATTGGGATGGGGTAAGCAACTCCATGCTCAGGTGATTCGGAGTCTACCGCGCATTGACCCATACGTTGCCAGTGCTATGGTTGAACTATATGCAAAATGTGGTTGTTTTAAGGAAGCAAGGAGAGTGTTCAGTTCCTTACGCGATCGGAACACTGTGGCATGGACAGTTCTTATTGGGGGGTTCTTGCAGTATGGTTGCTTCAGTGAATCTCTCGAACTGTTCAATCAGATGAGAGTTGAGTTGATGACAGTTGATCAGTTTGCACTGGCAACTATAATAAGTGGCTGCTCCAACAGGATGGATATGTGTCTTGCGAGGCAGCTGCATTCTCTTTCTCTGAAAAGTGGGCACACTCGAGCTGTTGTCATCTCCAATTCCCTTATCTCGATGTATGCAAAGTGTGGCGATCTCCAGAATGCTGAATCTATATTCAGTTTGATGGCTGAAAGGGACATTGTATCATGGACTGGCATGCTTACTGCATATTCTCAAGTGGGGAACATAGGGAAAGCTCGTGAGTTCTTTGATGGCATGTCCACAAGGAATGTAATTACATGGAATGCAATGTTGGGGGCATACATACAACATGGAGCTGAGGAAGATGGCCTCAAGATGTATAGTGCTATGCTAACTGAGAAGGATGTCATACCTGACTGGGTTACTTATGTCACATTGTTCAGAGGGTGTGCGGATATGGGTGCAAATAAACTTGGAGATCAAATTATTGGTCATACTGTAAAGGTTGGTCTCATCTTAGACACCTCAGTCGTGAATGCGGTTATCACAATGTACTCCAAATGCGGAAGGATATCAGAAGCTCGAAAAATATTTGAGTTTCTAAGTCGGAAGGATTTGGTTTCCTGGAATGCCATGATCACCGGTTATTCACAGCACGGCATGGGGAAGCAAGCTATAGAGATATTTGATGATATGCTGAAGAAAGGGGCAAAACCTGACTACATAAGCTATGTTGCAGTTCTGTCAAGCTGCAGCCATTCTGGACTCGTGCAGGAGGGAAAGTTTTATTTTGATATGTTGAAGAGAGACCACAACGTATCTCCAGGGTTGGAGCACTTCTCGTGCATGGTGGACCTTCTAGCCCGTGCAGGGAATTTGATCGAAGCCAAGAATCTCATCGACGAGATGCCCATGAAACCAACCGCTGAGGTTTGGGGGGCTCTTCTTAGCGCCTGCAAGACACATGGCAACAACGACCTCGCAGAATTGGCAGCTAAGCATTTGTTCGACCTGGACTCGCCTGATTCTGGAGGCTACATGCTTCTGGCAAAGATCTATGCTGATGCTGGCAAATCAGATGATTCCGCACAAGTCAGGAAGCTAATGCGAGACAAAGGGATAAAGAAAAATCCCGGCTACAGCTGGATGGAAGTTAAAAACAAAATTCATATCTTCAAAGCAGAAGACGTGACCCACCCTCAGGTGATCGCGATTCGGGAGAAGCTAGATGAGCTCATGGAGAAGATTGCGCAGCTTGGGTACGTGAGGACCGAGTCCCTGCGTTCTGAGATCCATCACAGCGAGAAGCTGGCCGTGGCTTTTGGGATCATGAACTTGCCTTCTTGGATGCCTATCCACATCATGAAAAACCTGCGCATTTGCGGTGACTGCCACACGGTGATCAAGTTGATATCGACGGTGACTGGTCGGGAGTTTGTGATTCGAGATGCCGTTCGATTTCACCACTTCAAAGGTGGTTCCTGCTCTTGCGGGGACTACTGGTGACCATGGAAATCCCCTGTAGTTCTTTTTCTCTGTAGCCCGTCAGATTCATTGAGACCACAGAGGAGTAAAATGTCTACCCTTTGATTATTATGCGTGTTATATCTGTCCACTATTTGTCTGAGGCTTAGGTTCGCCAGTGGTTTCCTTGAAAGCGCCGATGAAAAAACCCATGTGATAGCTATGTGCAAAGAATGCAGCGGGGATGCCAGGGACAGCGAGCATACACTAGAAAACAGAGGCTTGGTCATGCCATATTGACAATAAGCATATCTAGTTCACACGGTAGCATGGCGAGTGATATGTAGAGAGAAAAGGAAGTAACATCACATCCAGGGCTGTTCATCAAACTGGACATGCTTCATTGGGACAAGCCATTTTAAGAGTGAACAATTCCAGGCAGATATAGTAGGAGGTAATTCACTGAACATTTTGCAGGGATTAAGCAGCAGCAACGTGTGAGATCATTTCAACCCAGCTTAGCATGCGTTCCGTCGAATCAATTGACGAGCTAAATCAGAATCCCCAGAAACACACATCCACACAGGCATTTTACAAGATTCGAAAATTGCAGGAAGTCTTCGTAGAGCGGGAAGACAGGAAGAAGCTAAAGCCACAAGCTGTATCTGTATGTACATCGTGGAAGCCTAGATTGCACCAGGTGCGTCTCTCATGCTGATATTCAGGCTGTTTCTCATTGTTCTTCGCCCGACCCCCATATTGCCCTTGGTCATCATGGCAACAAATTCTCCATAGTCAATGCGACCATCCTGACAAAAGAGAGCAAAATCAGGACAATACTAACTTATTTTTGTTACTAACAGAACCATAAGCATTAGTTAATAAAGCAGCAAATGAGCTATGTTGGTTGATGAAGACAGCCTCTCTGAACCAAACTATCTTTTGGAGCAGCACTATATAGGGCACAAATCTATGTCCACTGGAATTTAAAAAATTGAATCCTTAAGCCTTGCTTGAATAGTGCATAGCTTCAAGTGGAATTTATTGGACAAGTATTGGGCCTAATATGTTTCCCACACCCAAAAAGTGTTTGATCCTAATTGCAAGTATCTAGTGGTTAAGACCTAAGTGGTTGAGAGACCATGTTCCTCTTCCAAAGACTGGAAACCTCGGTATAAATTATTTTATTGTCTTGGCTGGACTACTGAACAAGCTCTATTGCATCCCATTACTAGCATTGATTGTACATATCCAAGCTAGGAAGACAGTAATGGACCAAGATATACCATATCTAGAGAATAATAAATATATAGAATTAAGACCACACTTACATTGTCCTGGTCAGCTTCTTTAATGACATCATCAAGAAAAGCATCTGGCATGTTATGCTCTTGGCAAGCTTGCTGCAGTTCATCCACTGTGATGTAACCACTTCCATCTTTGTCAAAATATGAAAAGGCTGCCACCAGATGCTCCTCACGCTCCAGTTTATTCAGATGCAGTGTTGCAGCGATGAACTCTATATAGTCAATGGTCCCACTGTTGTCCACGTCCGCCTAATGAATCAATGGTACAAAAGAGACATGTAAGTTCCTTTGTTTACCATGATATAACTTGTCTTTGAAATGATTTCAAATCCTGGGGCATAAAGCCAAGCTGAACTTATCAGCCATCAGAGTAAATTTCTGTGGACTTGCTACACTAGTTGATTAAGAAATAACTTCCACAGATACGCATCTGCTGGTGCTTAAGCACAAATTCTCAGAGACATCAAATGCCAGGTGCTTTAAAAAGGAATTAAAATTTGATTATAGCATTTACTCTCAGAAATCCAGTTTTGCATATCAGAAGTACAGTTATGTGCCCCTATTTGGAACATAACAGACAAAAGGACTAATATAAAGGTAAAATGATGTCTACTGCATGCTTCCTAATTATATATGCCCTAAAGAAAGCCACCAATAAAAAGATGCAACTGTAAGAAGAACAGCTTGTGCATTAAGCAGCCTAGTTCCCAATTTCCTCATAATCATATGATATATGAACTGGCCGGAGGCAGCACAAGTTTCCAAGAGACTTTAAAAGCTTCTACTTCACAAGGATTTAAGCTTAGGGGACTTAAGGTACTAGGTCATTTAAGACTAAGAAATCCAAGCCAGTATTATGTTTTGGCTAACTCACCGCATCCATAAGATCACGAATCTCAGTATCCTTCAATGTGGAGCCATATTTTCTCAAGCCTTCTTTGAGCTCATCATATGTAATTGCACCACTGTTATCAGCGTCCATAGTCTGGAACATTTCCTTCAACCCTGCAATTTCCTCCTCTGAGAGGCTCTCAGCTATTACCTGGTAGAATGATCACGAAATGTCAGTTAATGCATAATTCACTAAGTGTGCTTCATCACACGAAGACATATTTCAGAACTCAATACAGTTTGTTTTGATAGCTCCCTCATGTCATACAAAGGAAGAATGGAAACATATCAGCAAGCATATTGCTCATATTAGTACTCCACCGTAAAGAAATTAAGAGCGTTCAGATCACTAGAGTAGTGATCTAAACGCTCTTATATTTCTTTACAGAGTACAGATAATATGAATCCAGTCAAGTAAGCACTTTGATCAGTAGGTGACAAGCTGACAGCCCAATAAAAATCATAGATAGCCCAAACAGAACCAATGGAACAGCCAAAGTACTATTCCGCGTAGAAGATCGTTCAACAACTGGCAAAGAATGAATGTGTGAAGCAATTCTGACAGAGCGAACAAGAATCTTTTGAAGAGACGAACGCCAAAAATTGCCTCCTTGCAAGCTCATGGATCCAAAACAGGCAATTAAAAACTTGAGCTTAAAAAGAATTGAACTCACCCGCAAAGCCATCTTCTTCAACTTATTCATCGCAGAGAATTGCTTAATGCGAGATAAGACAGCTGTGTCAAGAGGACGATCAGGAGCAACTCCCTGATCACGAATCCATGGATGGCCTGAATGCAACGGTTGCAAGTATGTCAAATGAAAACGCATTGAGGAGTATAGAAGGAGGGAAACCAGGAGTATAAGGTAGTGAAAGAAACTAACATAGAACTTCGTGTGCTGTCAAGCGTTCAGCTGGGCGAGGATTGAGCATTCTTGTTATCAGATCTTTTGCACTGTCAGATATCACAGGCCAGGGTTCAGAATCAAAATCGATGACACCTTTCAGTACAGCATCAAATATTCCTTGCTGTGTCTCTGCGTTATATACGTTCATAAAACAGGTAAGCCTACAATCGTCAGACGGCAAGCTTCCAAGTTAATTGAAGGGTTAAAAATATCACACCTGCCCAAAATGGGGGTACACCACTTAGCAGAATGTAGAGAATTACACCAGCGGTCCATACATCAGCTTCTGGTCCATATTTTTTGCACAGCACTTCTGGGGCTACATAGTATGGGCTTCCAACAACATCGGTGAAAATTTGGCCTGGAAAGAACAGAGCAAGAATGAGAAAGGGAGGCATGAGTGTAGAGTGCATCACAAAGTTTACAGTAAGCATATAACCGGAAAGGCTCCATGTAGATTCTAGAATAGACTGCTAGAGAATATTCTTCCCCCAAATATCCATTACCGGATGACTATTAAATGCGAGGCAGCCTTCCATCAGTTTCAGACTTTCCCACTGCCATTCAACTAGGAATCTAGGATGAGTTTCCCAGTGAACTTGTAGTATTTCAGAAAGACTGGTGTGAAATTGCATCAAGGGAATGTTGTCCAGTGTCATCACGTAAAAGTTCTCATGACTTGTTACCATTAATACTTCATTAATCCTTCATAGTTTAGTGACATGATTACAGAGATAAGCATCTAGGAGTAGTATCCAAATCCAATCGCGGGCCAAACCACAGTTAATTATGCGGGCATTAGTTTCGTTCCTACTGTAGTAGGAGTACCAAACTAATTAATTAAGCACATCGTAGTCGTTGACCGACTAGAGCAGGAAGGATTAATGTACTAGTAAGGCGCAGCAGGCAGCGGTAGCTCACCAGGCTTGAAGAAGACGGAGAGGCCGAAATCGATGGCCTTAAGCGAGAGGTCGTCGTCCTTGTTGGCGAGCAGGAAGTTCTCGGGCTTGAGGTCCCGGTGCATGACCCCGAGCGAGTGGCAGGCCTCGACGACCCCGACGATGATCCTGGTGAGCTCGGCGGCCTTGCGCTCGCTGTAGTGGCCCCGCTGTATGATGCGGTCGAAGAGCTCTCCCCCGGCGCAGAGCTCCATGACGATGTGCACGTAGAGCTGGTCCTCGTAGGCGCCCTTGATGGCGACGACGTTGGGGTGGCCGGAGAGGTGGTGCATGATCTGGATCTCGCGGCGCACGTCGTCGATGTCCTCCTTGGTGATGAGCTTGCGCTTGGAGATGGACTTGCAGGCGTAGTCGGCCCCCGTGGCCAGCTCGGTGCAGAGGTAGGTGGTGCCGAACTGGCCCTGCCCGAGCTTCCGGCCCAGCGCGTAGAGGTCGCGCAGGTTGGGCGTGGGGTGGCCGAGGACCGAGCCGAGGTCGGCGGGGGCGCCCGCCCCGCCGCGCCTCATGGCCGCGGCGGGCTGCGCGGGGGCCGCGTGGCCGTCCGTCTTGGCGGCTGCGGCTGCTGCTGCGGTCGGCTGGGAGCCGGGCTTCTTGGGCGAGTCGGCGGCGGTGTTGTGGTCGTAGTCGCGGTCGGGGTCGTGGCGCTGGGAGGCGGGGTGCTTGAAGCTGTGCAGGTACTTGGATCTAAGGGAACCGCCGCATGCGTTGCCCATCAAAGGACGGGGAGAGGCCGCGCCTGGCGCATCAAAGGCAGCTCCGGCCCACGCCTCGGTTGGTTGGTGGTTGCCGCCTCGCCTCGCCTCGCTCTCACGGAACCGTCAGCGCGAGCAAAGCAGCGGCGAAACCGACCTGCTCTGATCTGGCTGGCTGGGTGGAGGAGGAAGGGGAGAGGAGAGGAGGGGGGAGGGAGCTGGGTGGGGTTCGTTGGGGAGGATGGATTTATCGAGGAGGTGGGAAAGCAGCGCGCAGGGGCAGAGGCTGCTTCATGGCGGCTTCTTCTCCTCTCCTCTCGTCTCCACCCGGCGGTCACGTTCGGTCTGGGGAAAGCTAGCGGGTGCCAACAGCTAGTGCCACTGTTTGGATTGCCTGCCCGGAGCGTGTGGATTGATTGGCCTACGTATTGGACGGACGTACGCTGGCGCCGCGACCTGCACGGCGGTCAGCCTCGCCGCCCGTGCGATCGTGGGGAATGCAAAGGAAGATCACCGTCCCGAAAAAACTAGTGCTGTTTTTTTTCTAAAAAAAATTTCGAAGAAGGACGTTTATTTTTAGCTGTTTTTGGGAAAAGGCACGATGTTTAATTATTCGTTTTGAGGATACGCCGGTTTATATAGAGCCTGTTCGGCAGTCATCCAGCTCCCCAAAATATGGGAGCCGGCGGAGCGCCACTTTGATGACTCCAGAAAAATAGGCTACGGCGCCGCTCCGCTCCGGCCGCTCCAGAAGCTGAGCCGTGGAGCGGAGAGCTGCCAAACAGGGCCATAGTTGGTACAGTGTGCTTGCGTGCGTCGCCTTGGATTTTTGCGGGTGGTGGGGAGGGATGGAAGGCGACGCGAAGGAGGAGGTCGGCACCCCCGCCTCGGTTCTTGCGAAGCGGACAGGTACACTGAACTACACTCATCGTCGCAGCTGGGGGTGGTCAGGTGGTGGTGGGGGCGGGGGTTGGGATGGGCGGGCCCGCGCGCCGGTGACCCGCCGTGCGTAGACCGCGCGGAAAGGCCTGACGAACCGCCCCGACCCCGGCCCCGGCCCCGAGGCAACGTGCGCGCGCGCCGGCGGGTAGGTAGGTGCCGTGCGGCCGTGGTGCGGGCTGCGCCGATGCTTCTCTCCCTCGGCTGCTCACGTCGACTGGCCCCGTCCGTCTGCGTGTCGCTTGCGTGCGGGCCCGAGGGCGGCGCGGCCCCGCGTGTCCGTGACGGTGGCTTGGCGTGCGCCGTCCTGACGTCAGAGCTGCTTGCCCAACAGCTAGATAAAGTTGCTTGCCTGTCTGGCCGTCCTGTCCTTCGGGGAAAGCAGCTTGAGCACAGAAAGTAGAAAGACGGATGCAGGCATATACTACCGAGTACCGATGACACTTCCGCGTAGAGATGTTCGTTTTATATACGTATAAATAAACAAGAAAGAAGGGGTATATGTATATAGAGCAATACTGTACAAGGAAGATACGGATGAAACAGGAGGAAATTTGTGTTCCGTGTGCACGGATGTGACCTCCAGCTCCAGGCGAGAGGAAGCTTCTGAGTGTGCGTGCAAGACACAGGAGTGTGTGGTGTGCAGTGCAGATAACCCAATGTTTATCCGCTCATGGGATCAGATCTGGTAGTATCAACGCAAAGAGTTCAACTTATAAAATGGGCGCAGGAACATGTGAATTTGCTGGCTTTGACTTGTAGAATCTTTGACTGGCAGCACTACTAGGTAGTACGCCGTACGCGTACACATTTCACGAGCTGAATGTAGCGAGTGTATTTCAGTGTTTCATCCGTGCGTGCGCACAGCCCAATCCTGGTCTATGTTTCTCTCTCTCTCTCTCTCTCTCTCTCTCTCTCTCTCTCTCTCTCTCTCTCTCTCTCTCCGAGAAAACCAACGGTACCTCTGCCTATTTTTTTTAGAGAAACAAAAACTTGGGTGACCTTTATTAAGAAATAACCATATAAGAAATCAGAGGGATGTTCGCACCACACTCCGGTACGTTTCCCTCTGTAACCCGCTCGAGCAAGATAATGAGCGCTAGCATTACTTTCCCGAACACAATGCACAATCATCACCCTGCCCAAAGAACTCATCAACTTACGCCAATCATTTGTTACCACCGCCATGGATGCACGGCATTCCGAAGGATCTATAATAGGTTAGGCAATCCTCAGGGGATCACTCTCCAGAGCAACTGGAAACAGGGGTGGAAGTATGCCCAACTCATCGGCGAGCCGCAAACCTTCCAATAGTGTGTACACCTCCATAGAAGCGACATGCATGCCATGTTGTTATATGAACAATATGCTGCAATGAAAGCCAATGTAATGTCCCGTAGCAGTGCTCCCGTAGCTCCGTCACCATCATCAACATGATCGCTAGAATCTACATTCAGTTTTACGAGTCCAGCTGCTGATTTGATCCACCTTGATTTTCTCATTGGTGCTTTCACCTTAGTAGCAAGTGCATTCGCCATGATACCTCGTATGCTCATAGGTGACTACACCGGGGAACCGCAGTTTCCTTCATGAGTGATTTTCCAGCGATCCCACCATAAGCACCATGTGACCATATCCGTCTCAATTCCATTTGCAATTGGGATTTTGACCTTGCCCGGAAGATCTTCTAACCGCTCATGTGTCGTAGCCGTTTCGATGGCGGCTCTCAGGCCTAGCCCAAGATCAGCACGACACACTGGACCTCAAAGTTAATGAGTTAACAAGTTTGATGAGTAGCTCTTTAAACTCGGTTGTACAACACAACGTGTCTTTCTATCTTAAGTGGCAATATTTGGTGGCACCTCAACTCCTCTATTTAATCTAATCGACCCAACCCAGTTCATAGGAGGCATCAACTAATGCATCTCCTCATGTGGTCATCATCTCCTTTCATAAAGATCACACCAGTTATAGGCCACAAACCTTGTAGCTAATACAAAAGTGGATAGTTCCCACTAACGAGCAACTCGCGAGCTTAACGAGCACGAGTCGAACAAGCCAAAGAATGCACGAGGCATGGTTTACGGTCGCATGCCACCTGCCCACTATGTGACCAGGACAATGAGACAACTAACAACCTTGCTTTGGGGTGCGTGTTCTCTATAGAGGTGTGGCCCTATGGCCTCGCTCGCTGCGGTCTTGATCAACACATGCTAGAAGCTGACGACGCCACTATGGAGTGGTGGCCGGCTACTCGTGCTATCGTCCCCAAAGCCAAGAGGAAGGGATTTGACTCCATGGTCCTTCTCACCGTGTGGGTGCTCTAGAAGGAGCGCAATGGTCGCGTTTTTCAGCAATCACTTGTGGTTTTTCGTGAGTTTGCAGGCGGATAAGTGCCAGGGTTGAGCTTTGGAAGCTCTTTGGTGCAAAAGGGTTGTCGGAGATTTAGAGATAGGACCTATATGTGTGTAGGACGTTGTGTGTTTCACCGGTGTGTTTGGGTTGCCTATATTTGTGCTTCCGTGGAAGCTCTGTAACCGCGGAAAGCCGCCGAAACCTATGTTCTTTTCTTCACTCTTCTAATATACATCGACGCGCAAACTTTTTGCGCGTTCGCAAAAGAAAAAAAGCCAAACAACTCGTTAAGAGCCGAATAAGGTTTTTGCTTGTTGAGCTAAACAAACTTAGCGACCACGAGCTTAACGAGCCAAATAACTCGTTAATGCACCCTTAGTTACCGAGCTTCCCACCATCTACATCTTCACGGTCAACATTAATATCCTCCAAGGTCCTAGTCATCGGAACAACAAAAGCAACAACAGTACTACAGTAGTGTTGATGACAAGCACATCCTTTATCATCCATGTCTTTTTTTCGAGGGTACGCCAATGGCGTACCTTAGCTTTATAGAAGGGAGAAAAATATGTACAAGAGTTTACAAAGTGCCGGTTGGGCTACAACCAGCCTGACCGAGCCACCACTCCACCCACACGCTACTCGACTACTCAATCACACATTGCTCTCCAAAAGCTCCTGCCGTGGCCCACATCCTCAGCTCGTCGAAGATCGTGTCTACCGTGTCTTGTTCACTCTTGATCTGGCCCGAACCAAACACCCTCGCATTCCTTTGTTTCCATAACGTCCAACAGATGAGCATGACAAAAGAATCAAACCCCTTTCTAGAGTGCTTAAGAAAACGCTTTCTAGTGTCCGACCACCAATGCACCAATCTAGAATCATATGTTGGGCAAAGCTCCGTGGGCAACCCCATCCTAAGAATGCAAGTGAACCAAACTTGCCTCGAGAACACACATTGCAGCAAAATGTGGTCCACCGTGTCCTCCTCTTGGTCACAAAGAAAGCATTGAGAAATTTGATCTTGTAGGTTATGCCTCACTCTTCTGTCGGAAGTCCATAGCCGATATTGGACCGCCAGCCACATGAAGATTTTGCACGCCAGAGGGCCCCAGCACTTCCAAATAGCTCCAAAGGAGTGGAATCTAACTCCTCCCTCACATAGCATCTTGTATGCAGAGGATGCGGTGTAAGTCCCCGACGCATTCCAAGCCCAAATGGGACTGTCCTCGGACTGCTCATCCAGATGCACCTCCTCAAGGATCTCCCAAAGGCCTATAAATTGGGTAAGGCCTTCCGTACACAAGTCGCCGACCACATCATTCATCCATGAGTGCATGTCAAGTGCCTCTCGAACACGTCTCCTGTTGGCCACTTGCGTACGAACAGACTTTGCCACCAATGGAGCGACCTATGCAATGGTAGCACCCTGGATCCATCTATCCTTCCAGAACAAGGTTTTGTCCCCAGCACCAACTCTCCATTTCACCAAGCTACTGAACGCCTGCGCAGCCGATTTGTCCGTAGCCAAGCAGAGCCCTTGCCACGACCTGGAAGGGTCCGTGCGTCTGAGCCATTCCCACCTCAACCTTAGAGCAATGCCGTGTTTGTGAAGATCAATAACGCCCAGCCCTCCCATGAGCTTAGGCCTACATACTCTCGCCCAAGATACGACACATTTACCTCCCTTGATTTCCTCAGTCCCGGCCCAGAAGAAGGCCCTACAT